CAAGGTAGATTATTTAAAAAAAAAAAACAAATGTAGGCCGGGCATGGTGGCTCATGCCTGTAATCCCAGCACTTTGAGAGGCTGAGGCCGGCAGATCACCTGAGGTCAGGGGTTCAAGATCAGCCTGGCCAAAATAGTGAAACCCCATCTCTACTAAAAATACAAAAATTAGCCAGGCATGGTGGCGTGCACCTGTAATCTCAGGTACTCAGGAGGCTGAGGCAGGAGAATCGCTTGAAACCTGGTGGTGGAGGTTGCAGTGAGCTGAGATCTCACCAATGCACTCCAGCCTGGGCAACAGAGCAAGACTCCATCTCAAAAAAGCAAAAAACAAAAAACAAATATACTTTTCGATGATTTTAATGACAACACAAAATGATTATTGTTCTTTCTGGCTCTGGTTGTTAGCCCGCTGTTTTGTAGTTAACTATAATGTGATACAGTATGACATAAAATATCATACACAATATTCTTTCTGATTGACTATGATATACCTAAGTAGGCCAGAATTACCACAAAATAGTCCACCTGGAAAAAAAATCTTATGAAAATGCCAATTCATCCAAGATATTTAAGAATGGAAATACTGGCTAAAAATATTACTTCCATAAGAAATTAATGATTTTGATAATTTATTAGTTAATGAACAATTTTTCAATACACGTTTTGACATATTTTCAATGATGAGTTCTTGTATAATAACAGAAATATATTTTTTGAAGGCACTGGAGCCAGGGTTTCTGGCTTTAAATTATAGCTGTGCCTTGTATTAATTGTGTTATCTAGGGCAAATAATTTAGCTCCCTATGCCTCTATTTTCTCCTCTGTAAAATGGTGACTGTAATAATTACCTCCTAGAGTTATTAGAAAGATAAGTGAGTTGGCCGGGCACGGTGACTCACTCCTGTAATCTCAGCGCTATGGGAGGCCAAGGCGGGTGGATCACAAAGTTAGGAGTTCAGGACCAGCCTAGCCAAGATGGCGAAACCCCGTCTCTACTAAAAATACAAAAAACTGGCCCGGCATGGTGGTAGGCACCTGTAATCCCATCTACTTGAGAGGCTGAAGCAGAGAATTGCTTGAACCCAGGAGGTGGAGGTTGCAGTGAGCGGAGATCACACCACTGCACTCCAGCCTGGGTAACAGAGTGAGACTCTGTCTCAAAAAAAAAATAAATAAAAATAAAGATTAAGTGAATTGAAGTATGTTAAATGCCAAGGTAATCGATATTCAGAACACGATATTTCTCATTCCCTCCACTACCATGCTGCAGTACCATGTGATGATTATGGGCAGGGACTGCAGGGCCCCACTGCCTCATCAGCTATGTGAGGATGGGCAAGCTACTTAAACGCTCTATGCCTCAGGGTTCTCGTCTGTAAAATGGGCATAATAAAAGTACCTTTCTCATAGGATGGTTTTTAAGAATGAAATGAGTTTATTGATGTAAAATGCTTAGAATGGTGCCTGGCACACAGGGAATGCCATATACATATGAGCTAGTGTTGTGTTGAGACACTTACAGTTTGTTGTATTGGCATATTTCTGACTTACTACTGTTTTATTTTTTTTGAGACAGAATCTCATTCTGTCACCCAGGCTGGAGTGCAATGGCATGATCTTAGCTCACTGCAGCCTCCGTCTCCTGGGTTCAAGTGATTTTTCTGCCTTAGCCTCCCAAGTAGCTGGGACTACAGGTGAGTGCCACCACACCTGGCTAAAATTTGTATTTCTAGTAGAAATGGGGTTTCACCACATTGGCCAGGCTGGTCTTGAATGCCTGACCTCATGATCCTCCTGCCTGGGCCTCCCAAAGTGCTGGGATTACAGGTATGAGCCACTGCACCTGGCCGACTTACTACTTTTATAACTAACTCCAGCTGTGGCCAGCAGGATCCTTCAGGGCTTGGGAGGGAGTATGGTAGAATTTTCGGCCTTCAATACCAAAGATATAGTGAAGTGGGTGGAAAAGCAGAGGGGGCCACATATTCCTCAGCTCTAGGCTCCAAACGCTTTGCTAAAACAGCCATCTTTGCAGATTTTAGCTCTGGGCCTAAGGAGAAGAGAACAGAGACATGATGTGTCTCCTGAGTGCCATTTACCCTCACTGAGCCACTGCTTTAACAAACACCAATATTTTTTAGCTCCACTGCAAATGTTGTTTATAGTGAAAATCATTATAACAGCGTTAATGGAATTTTTTAAAAGATCAAATATAAATCAACTATAAACACACCACCTGATACAAAAACTGATTTTATTTTTTCAGTTTACCTCTGGTTTTCGTTTACGTGCATATCTAGTACATGTTTACACAGTAGACATCACTGTGTGTGTACAATTTTATACCCTATTTATTAACACTAATTGATAACCCTTTTCTCTGTTATGTGGTCTTTATAATAGTAATTATTGATGGCTGCCGAGTCAGGTGGATAGGACACAATCACTCCATTTTTGAAAATCACAATGTCCGCCTTCTACATACTGCAGGAGAACTCTACATATAAATGATAGTAAAGAAAACAAATTGTAAAAGAAAAGGAAGTAAAAGGCCTAAATCTCCTTATGGCACAAGGGGAGTATTTGATTGCCTAGGGGTTGCGAAATTCTATCATTTGATTTTGCAGCAGATGCTTTATTTCACGTATCTATTTTTAAATTTAAGAGAATTAAAAAGAAGTTGCATGTTATGGGTCTATTGTCTATTGTTTATATGCTTAAAATTTTCCATAAGTAAAAAGGTTAAAAACAAATAATTTGCTTATAAATGATTTTTCCAATACCCTTGGAAATAGCTTGAAATATCTCTTGGTGAGCATGCCAACACTAGCCCACATGGCACCTTTGTGGGAAATTCCAAAGTACCTCTTCCTCAAGAGCCTTAACCTCCCTGTTCCGGGAAGGGTATGTGGTAAGGGTATGTAAATCTGCTGTCTACACGGGGAAAGGTGTTTCCTTGCATGTGGCGCTCTTGTGCTGTGCACGACTTCCTACATATGCAAAGGCCTTGCTTGGGTATCGCTAAACCACTGTTGAGAACGTCTTTAAGAAGGGGGCACGGGGAGTACGGGGGAAGTGGGGAAGGCTGTAGCTGTTTCATCGTTGGTGACCTGTGCTTGGTAGAGGGTGACTGGCAGTGCATGGCGCTACAGCAAGCCATGCCCACTGGGCTGGGACCCTTGGGCCTGCCGTAGGTCATAGTCCACACTCGCTGGAGGGGTGTGCCCTGTTGTGGTGTACTGACCACATCCTTGCTGAGACCCAGGCTCTCCTTCCTCCTGTAGCTCCGTGATGAACTTGGATGCCCAAGCACCCATCCCCTGTTGGACTCTCCGTACGCTCCAGTCCAGTCTACCTTGGGATTGCGGTCATGACTCTCCTCTTCACTTCCCTTGTGCTTCTGGTTCTGTCCTGGTCTTGGTCAGTCCTTTCCCTATCTGACGCCAGTCCCAGCACCTTCTACCATTCCTGGGAATTCTCCAGTTCCTGACTCACGGCCTATCTTACAGAAAGATATTATGTCAGAAAGCGCCTCTTATGTCTAAGGGTCCTGGGCTTCCAGCAGGGGAGTAGATGGCAAGTTACCAATGGCCCCACATGTTAGATACTGTGGCTTGATTTAAAGAGAAATAGGAGACAGCTCCATGAGATCCAACAGATGGTCTGATTAAGGAAGAAGGAAGCCAGTGCAGAGCACTTACAAGATAAGCATGCTCGGTAGTGAGCTGTTTAGGACAGGGACGGCTTGGCAGGCCCTTCTGAAGTCTTCACAGCAGGCTTCAGGCCTGGCACTCAGCAGCATGCACCAAATGTTTGTTAAATGAATAAATAAAACATAAGGGCCGGGTGCGGTGGCTCACACCTGTAATCCCAGCACTCTGGGAGGCTGAGACGGGTAGATTGCTTGAGGTCAGGAGTTCAAGAGCAGCCTAACCAACATGCCAAATCCCCATCTCTACTAAAAATATTATTTTAAAAATTAGCCAGGCATGGTGGAGGGTGCCTGTAATCTCAGCTACTCAGAAGGCAGAGGCAAGAGAATCGCCTGAACCCAGGAGGCAGAGGTCACAGTGAGCTGAGATTGTGCCACTGCACTCCAGCCTGGGTGACTCTGTCTCCAAAAACAAACAAAACACTGCAGTACAACATGTGTATACTAGGGCTGAAGAAACATAGCATAGAAGAGTGATCTGAGTGGGCGAGAGTAATAAAGATTTCCTACAGGAAGGAAATTAGTTTCAGAAACTGAAGGGTAGAGGGGAGTCTAGTGTAGTGGTCCAAGCACGTAGTTCTCCATTGATAATACTATGTGGCCTCTAGCAAGTTACTTAACCTTTCTGTGCCTCAGATTCATTTCCAAAACAGAATACTGCTTACTAGATGGGTGGCGTGCTCCCTTGCAGGTGGCGCTCACTAGAAAGCCTCAGTGAGTTCATGGGTAAATGGGGCTTAGCGCTTGATCAATGGAATTAGCAACATCACCTGACACCCTATCTTCACATACCTGGGAGTCCCCCACAATTGCTTCTACTTCTTTTACAAAACAGCATTTCATTTTCCTAAATTATTTTCTAGTTCTTGTTCACAGTCAACTTGTTTTGTTAAAATTACTTTTTTCTTTGTATAAAATGATGCACGCTCATTAAAAAACAAACAAAAAAATAGTTCCAAGCAATAAAGTACAAGTAAAGAAGCAAAATATAGTTGATATTTAAGAACAGAGTGCTGTTCTCATCATGTGGCCCTAGTCACTTGTATGCGTATTGTTCTCATGTGAGTCACTGAAGTAAAATATTACTCCATGGAATGTGGATGTTTTCACTAATTCTTGAATAAAGACAAACTGAAGTTTGTATTATAAAGTGCTAAACTACCTTATGTGCCAAAAACTTTTATCAGTCTTTGGATTATGTGACTTTTTCCAGAATAAAAACTAAGGTTATTTGAACAAGACATTGGAAATAAATTCCTCTTGACATTTTCTTTCTGTTTATCAGAGGCTCGAGGCTTCCACCACTAAACCCAAAGCTGTAGATACCTATTGCCTGGATTATAAGCCTTCCAAGGGAAGAAGGTAACCATGTTTTTTAGCGTGTGTGGAAATTGACATTATTGTATTCTGTAGCCCTGGAAAAAACTCATTATTCAGATTTCTGTGAAGGGTTGAGCCTGAAAAGAAGCTGTTGAGAAAGGAGAAAGATTTGTAATATCCAACAATTTCAAAGCCAGAGTTTCTAGCTCATAGCTCATAGTTAGAGATAAGGAAATAGGCCCAGGAGAACTGGAAGGACAGGGCAAAAGTCACAATGGACTGAGACCACAGCCCAGGTTTCCTGATGTGTAACCGTTTGAAAACATTTTTTTCAATTTGTGTCTTGGATCATGAGGAAGAGGCAAAAAAAAATTTTTTTTTAAATGATACAAATATTCAGTTAAATAGGAGAAATAAAACCTAGGTTTCAATAGGTTAGTAGAGTAGCTTTAGTTAACAATAACCTACTGTACACTTCAAAATAGCTAGAAGAGAATAATTTAAACATTCCTAGTATATAGAGAAGATACATATTTAAGGTGATAGACATCCCAATTACCCAGATTGATCTTTACACATTATATGAAGGTAGTAGAATAGCACGTTGGCTGGGCCAGTGGCTCATGACTGTAATCCCAGCACTTTGTGAGGCTGAGGTAGGAGTATCACTTGAGGCCAGTAGTTTAAGATCAGCCTAAGCAAAATAGAGAGACCCTGTCTCTACAGAAAAGTTAAAAAATTAGCCAGGCATAGTGGTATGTGCATTTAGTTCCAGTTACCTGGGAGACTGATGCAAAAGCATCAGTTGAGCCTAGGAGTTCAAGGCTGCAATGCAGTGAGCTATGATCGTGCCACTGCACTCCAGCCTGGGCGACAGAGTGAGACCCTGTCTCTGAAAATATATATGTAATATAAAATCACATATTGCCCAAAATATATACATCTATTATGTATCAATTTTTCAAAAGGAATAAAAAGGGTAGGTAATTGAAATAAAAGCTGAAGACAGGCAATTGTATTAGTTAGAAAGTAAATCTTTCTGGGCCAGGTGCGGTGGCTCACATCTGTAATCCCAGCACTTTGTGAGGCCGAGGAGGGTGGATCACAAGGTCAGGAGTTCAAGACCAGCCTGGCCAAGACGGTGAAACCACATCTCTACTAAAAAAAAAAAAAAAGAAGAAGAAGAAAGAAAGAAAGAAAAGAAAGTAAACCTTTCTGGACAGTTTTCAAACTCCTGAATAAACTTCAGCAGGTTTTGCAGAATTAGAGTAGTGGTAAATAAGACTCTCACTAAAAAGTTTCAGAAAGTACTCTTGCCCTTTTAAGTGTAAAATAAGCAGATTGCAAAGGTGCCTTTTCTCTCCACCCTGAAATGTAGTGTTTGTACCTGAGAAGGGAGGAAGAAGAGGGCCTGAGTACTGAGGCTTCCCATCCACTTGTGCAATTTCCCAGCAAGGACTTGGGGATCTACAAGGCCCATGCCAAGTTAGGCTTGATGCCGGCATTGAGAGTGCTACTCAAGTGGAGGAAACAATGAAGAAATGCTTTGTGGGATTTGAGAGACCTAACATCCCCCAATACCCTGTTAATGTCACTTGTTGAAATTAGAGACTGGGCACAGTGGCTTACGCCTGTAATCCCAGCACTTTGGGAGATCAAGGTAGGAGGATCCCTTGAGCGCAGGAGTTTGAGACCAGCCTGGGCAACATGGTGAGACCTTGTCTCTACAAAAAAAAAAAAAAAAAATTTATCTTTTTGGAGGTCTCATTCTGTCACGCAGGCTGGAGTGCAGTGGCACAATCATAATTCACTGCAGCCTCGAACTCCTGGGCTCAGCTGATCCTCCCGTCTCAGCCTCCACACCCAACTAATTTCTATATTTTTTTGTAGAGACCGGGTTTCAAAACCCTGGTCTCAAGCAATCTGTCTGCCTTGGCCTCCCAAAGTGCTGGGATTACAGGCATGAACCACTGCACCTGGCCTTCAAAAAAAAAATTGTTTTTAATTAGCTGGGTGTGGGAGCACCTGTGGTCTGAGCTACTGAAAAGGCTGAGGTAGGGGGACCTCTTGAGCCCAGGAGGTCAAGCCTGCAGTGAGCTGTGATTGTACCATTGCACTCCATCCTGGGCGGCAGAACAAGACCCTGTCTCAAAAAAAGAAATTAGCATAGGTTTTTAGTGAGAAGAGGTTACCTCTAACGCCCCACCATGACTCTACCCTGGGACCTCAAGGCCCACATACTTTAAGGGGGTGCTCAGGTGTACTGGAGCTGTCCACAATCCTAAGAGCCACTGATGTTTTCACAGGTGGACTGCAAGAGCACCAAGCACCAGAATCACATATAGGACTATCACCAAGGAGAGAGACTACTGCACGGAAGACCAGACTGTGGAGAGCTGGAGAGAAGATTTCCCAGTGGGCATGAAGCTTGCTGTGCTTGCTATTTTCATCATTGTGGTGTTTGTCTACCTAACTGTGGAAAATAAGTCGTTATTTGGTTAAGTAATTCAGGAGCAAAGCAATGCTCCAAATGAGGCCTCCTACTTCAGGAAAGAACCAAAAAACTACCCTGAAGAGCAAGCCTAGCCCGCAGCCCTCCCTTGCAGGGAGCCTTCCCTTACTCTGTGCTCCTCTCACAGATCTGCATCTGGGCTCAACCAGGTGGAAGGAGCCAACGAAAGAGCCAGGCACCTGTGTTAAGAACAAGATGGTTAGGAAATCCCCCAAGTCATGTCAGCTCTCATTAAAGGTGCTTCCATATTTGAGCAGGCATCAAACAAGGAAACTGTCTGGCGTTTTTCTTTCTAACTATGGTAACAAGCCATAGCTTCTAATTGTATAGCCAACTCTGGGAAACATCTAATTTACAGCAGAGGAATGTGTCTGGTTTAGCAAACACAAAGGAATGTTCAACATAATGAAAACAATTTAGAACAGGGTAGCATTTTTGCCTTTGAAACTTAGCAAAGTTCTAAAAAATTACAATCTGACAAGGGAGTGTAATAACCATGGCCTCCGGGACCAGGCAGAGCTATATAGGCGCCCGGCTCATCTCTTTATTAGCACCATGAACTTGGGTGAGTTAGTTGTCCTCCTTGAGTTTCAATTTCAACTTTCGAAAATAGGGTAGAATAGGCCTCTTAAGGAGATGAAGAATTTGAGGAAATAATGTGCATAATGTACTTAGTGTGGTCCACATCTGACTTGTGGCAAGCACTCAATAAATGCTGAAGCAATGTTACACTTTGCCACAATATGGGAGGAGCTAATTCTAGATACAAAAAAGCACCAAAGGCCAGGCATGGTGACTCATGCCTGTAATCTCAGCACCTTGGGAGGCTGATGCAAGGGGATCTCTTGAGGTCGAGAGTTCGATACCAGCGTGGCCAACATGGTGAAACCCCATCTCTACTAAAAATACAAAAAATCAGCTGGGCATGGCGGCGCATGCCTGTAGTCCCAGCTATGCGGGAGGCTGAGGCAGGAGAATTGCTTGAACCCCAGAGATGGAGGTTGCGGTGAGCCAAGATCATGCCACTGTACCCCAGCCTGGGCAAGAGCAAGGCTCTGTCTTAAAAAAAAAATAAAAATAAAAAGCACCAAGATACATAAGCACACAAGAAATTTACTGTAGCAACTCTTATGGTGGCTAAAACATAAAATCTACCCAAATATCCAACAGTAGGGGAATAGTTTAATAAATGGAAGTACAGCCTCCTGATAGATAATTATGCAACAGTTAAAAGTGTTAATAATGAGTACATCACAATATAGAAAATGCTTATTTTTTAAAAAGTTTTAAATAGCCTTATTGTGGAAGGTTAAGATGGGGGAATTGCTTAAGCCCAGGAGTTCAAGGTTGTAGTGAGCTGTGATCACAATACTTCACTCCAGCCTGGGCAACAGAACGAGGCCCTGTCTCTTAAAAAAAAAAAATACAGAGAGAGAGAGATAATTTTTTTTCTGAGATGGAGTTTTGCTCTTGTTGCCCATGCTGGGGTGCAATAGTGTGGTCTAGGCTCACTGAAACCTCCACCTCCTGGGTACAAGCGATTTTCCTGCCTCAACCTCCCAAGTAGCTGGGATTACAGGTGCCCACCATCACACCCAGCTAATTTTTTTGTATTTTTAGTAGAGATGGGGTTTCACTGTGTTGGCCTGGCTGGTCTTGAACTCCTGACCTCAGGTGATACGCCCACCTAAGCCTCCTGAAGTGCTGGGATTACAGGCTTGAGCCACCATTCCCGGCCTGGAGAGATCTATTTTATATCCCATACAATTCACCTACTTAGAGTTACAATTCAACGATTTTTAGTATATTCACAGAGTTATGCAACCATTCCCACAATAAATTTTAGAATATTTTCATCACTCCAAAAAGAAATCCTTAAGGTGCTTATTTTAATGGTAAACAAAAAAGGACACAAATTTGTTGTACCATATTATCACAACTGCACAACATTGGAAGAAAATATGTCGAAATGTTAAGAGTACTTCAGTGACTGGGGCTCTAATTTTTCCCCCTATTTCTACTTTTTTATATTTTTAAAGATTTCTGTAAGCAGTGTGTATCCGTTTGCTAATGAAAGGTTGTAAATATAAATATTAATTTTAAAAAATTGCATTCTGTCTGGATGTGGTGGCTCAGCATTTTGGGAGGCTAAGGTGGGAGGATCACTTGAGGCCAGGGGTTCGAGAACAGCCTGGACAACACAGCAAGACCCTGTCTGTAAAACAAAAGGAGAAGAAGAAGAAATTTTTGAAAAATTGCATACTGTATTACGGTTTGACTGCAAGGATCATAAAACGCTAATAAGCCTGGCTTAAACAAATAGGGATTCATTTTTATCTCACAGAAAGAAGTCTAGGGCCGGGCGCGATGGCTCACGCCTGTAATCCCAGCACTTTGGGAGGCCGAAGTGGGCAGATCACCTGAGGTCGGGAGTTCAAGACCAGCCCGACCAACATGGAGAAACCCTATCTCTACTAAAAATACAAAATTAACTGGGCGTGGTGGTGCATGCCTGCAATCCCAGCTACTTGGGAGGCAGAGGCAGGAGAATTGCTTGAACTCGGGAGGTGGAGGTTGCAGTGAGCTGAGATCGCACCATTGTACTCCAGCCTGGGCAACAAGAGTGAAACTCCATTTCAAAAAAAAAAAAAAGTCTAGAGTTTAAGATGTTTGTTTAAAATGACCAAAAATGTCATATAATTCTGATTCAAATAAACCAACTGCAGAAAAAACTATGATCAACAAGATGTGAAACTGACCGGATTTTTGGTGGTATTCAGAGAGGTTTGGTCTGACTGAGCTGCAGCAACTGTCTTACTCCCAGGGGAAAATCAAAAGGTTAAGAGAATCCCAGACACTGGCCTGACACCTTGGAGCTACTGAACTTGCAAGAAGAATCCAGATAATGGCCATCACATTATCATTTAAGGCAGGACCTTAGGACTAACCACGTCTCTTCTACATTACATATTTCATCCTGAGCAGCAGGAGAGGCTGAGAAAGTGGGCCCTGGAGCCTCAGCAGCCTCTGTGTTAGACAGACAAGGGAAAAGAGGATTGGACATGGGACTAAGCAGAACCAACCTATGGTGGTGGCCACATGCGCTTAGAAAAGGAACTTCTGTTGTGTTGTGTTGTTTTGTTTGTTTGTTTTGAGACAAGGTCTCACTCTATTACCCAGGCTGGAGTGTGGTGGATCACTGCAACCTCCACTGCCCAGGCTCAAGCAAACCTCCCACCTCAGCCTCCTGAGTAGCTGGGACTACAGGCCCATGCCACCACACCTCGCTAATATTTTTGTATTTTTTATAGAGATGGGGTTTCGCCATGTTGTCCATGCTGGTCCCGAACTCCTGGGTCCATGTGATCCTCCCAAAGTGCTGGGTTGGCAGGTATGAGCCACTGTGCCCCACCAAAATGTCTGCTCTTAATAAAACCAAACATTATAAAAAATAAAACTCCTAGGAAGTTTCCTCCATTATTTTCAACTTTTCCCAGTTCTTTTATGTCAGAATCCTGGAATCATTTAAAGGGACTGAACAAGATGATTACTTTTGTGTCTGACCACTCAAGGTATGAGTCCCCAGCCAGCAGTACCAGCATCTCAGGCTCTGTCCCAAGGACTGAGCCGGAATCTGCACTGCAACAGGATCCCAGGTGATTCCTACCCAAATCGAAGTTTGCGAAGCATTGTGGTGGTCCATCCCTATCAGATGCTATGATACAGTGATGTAATAAAAAACGCATATTTTGTCTCTGCCCCTGGTTTCTGGCACTTAGTTCCTAAAACCCTTGGAATCTCCTGAGTGGTAAGAGTGTCTTCTGTATGTTATTTGAGATGACTGGTGGCTGGGGGCCCCTAGACAGCTTCAGGATGGGGACTGATCAGCAGAAAGATCAAGGCAGGATCCCAGGGTTGGAACTTTCAGTCCCATCCCCGCAACCTCCAGGAAAGGGAGATGAGCTGGAGGTTAAGTGGATCACCAATGGCCAGTGATTTCATCAATCATGCCTCCATAACGAAGCCTCCATAAAAACCCAACAGGATTGGGTTCAGAAGCAGGTTCTGGATAGCCGAACCTGTGGAGGTGCCTGGAGGGTGGAGTGCTGGAGAGAGCACAGAGCTCCGCGCCCCTCCACATGCTTTGCCCTACGTGTCTCTTCCATCTTGCTGCTCATCTGTACCCTTTATTATTAAACCAATACATGTAGGGAAAGTGTTTCCCTTAGTTTTGTGAACCACCCTAGCAAATTAATCTAACCCAAGGAGAGGGTCCTGGAAACCTTGATTTATAGCTAGTTGATCAGAAGGACAGGTTACAATGTGAGGTTCGTAACTGGCATCGGAAGTGGGGGGCACTCTTCTGAGACTGAGCTCTGAACCTGTGGGATCTGATACTGTGTCCAGGAAGACGGTGTTGTGATCGAATTTAAATTATACGGCATCCTGTTGGTGTCTGATGGAGAATTTGGTGTCAGAATTGTTTGGTGTGCGGAGACAAAACCCACACATCCAGTGTCAGAAGTGTGGTGGAGAGTGAGAGTGGGAAAGACACTTTGGTTGGCAGGTGTGGTGACTCACACCTGCAATCCCAACACTTTGGGAGGCTGAGGCGGGCAGATCACTTGAGCTGAGGAGTTTGATACCAGCCTGAGCAACATAGCAAAACCCTGTCTCTATAAAAAATACAAAAATTAGCCGTGTGTGGTGGTGCGTGCCTGTGGTCTTAGCTTCTTGGGGGACTGAGGTGAGAGGATCGTTGTGCCCCAGAGGCCGAGGATGTAGGGAACCGTGAATTCAATACTACGCTCCAGCCTGGGTGACAAAGTGAGATCCTGTCTCAGAAAAAACAAAAAAAAAAAAGCAAAAAAAAAAAAAAAAAAAAGCAAACAAATAAACACACACAAAAAAACTTTTGTTTTTTCCCTATCTCTACTAGATGCATATATAGTAGGAGTCTCTAAAACTCAGGTCGGAGGACCAATGAGTTAAGTCTATCAGGAACCTAAGTGTAGTGGGGACGTGTTCCCTCTTGGAGAAAACCTTGTCTTAAAAGAAAAGACTCAGGGGCGGGGCACGGTGGCTCATGCCTGTAATCCCAGCACTTTGGGAGGCCGAGTCGGGCAGATCACAAGGTCAAGAGATCGAGATCATCCTGGCCAACGTGGTGAAACTCCGTCTCTACTAAAAAAAAAATACAAAAATTAGCTGGGTGTGGTGGCACGTGACTGTAATCCCAGCCACTTGGGAGGCTGAGGCAGGAGAATGG